ACACAGGGAACTGCAGTCAATCTACAAATGTTCCATTTTTATTACAAAGTATGAAAGGCAGAAAATACTGTACCTAATACACAGGAGGCCGAAACTTAGAAAGAAGGTTAAAAAATCTGAATAAAACTACATAGGAAGCAGGAAATAGCATAAAAGGATGCAACATTCCACTTTCAAGCGAGTTCAGAAAATTGCCTTAAAATTTACAGTTTCAACAACATGGTTCCATGACTCAGGTGTTAAAATCCATTGTAACAAACCCTTTTATATTTTCTCCATAAAAATAAAGGAATATAGGGACACTGCAGTTATCCATGTCAACAATATATGTCTGTTGAATAGCAGGATACTGGGACTCCTCTAGGACAGAATAGTAGCAAAGTTGCAGGTGGAGAAAAGGACAGAAGTAAAATTACTATTGCTTTAACATACTCTAAGTGAGAACAAGAAGTCAGGAATCTCATATGGATGTTTGTACAATCATGCTACAAAGATTACACCTTCAGGAAATTACCACAACAGGACTGTGAATGGGAAGAGCAGAAGGGAAAACACACCTAAAAGTAGAATCTCCTACTCAGCTACTGGTAACAAAAATGCTTCGGCGCAATGGATTTAAATTACATTTTACACTGCTAGCAACCCAAGGGTTAGAAAAAAGGTTCTTTTTAAATAGTAATTTCATAATTCCTATTTCCCAAGTTGTCAAAAAAAAGCAACATACCTTTTTCCAGCTGCACTGGGACTCTGTCCTGCTCTGGTTTTTGCCTTTCTGCCTTGCTGAGACCCCCCAGACCCACCCTCAGCACTGAGAGGGGCTGGAGTTGCAGATGGAAAACAAACTCCAAGGAATGGGAGCTGGACCACGGGTTTACAGCTGCACATGGCCACAATATTTTGTCAGGAAATAGCTTTTTTTTTCCCCTTAATTTTGTTAGGTTTCCTATAAAGAAACCAGCTTGATGGAAGCCACTGAGATAATTTATGACTATGGAAATTCTTGCTTGATGCTAAGTATCAGAGGCTGCACAAAAGGCCACCGAGGTCCTTGGCAGACACACTTGTCACCTGAAACAGGCAGCAGCAACTCTTTGTGCATCTGGTGTCTGCCATGAATCACCAGATGAGCCTTCAGTGATTGGTATTTAGCTGCATTTCTAATTACTGCTCCTTTTACTGCTGCTGAAAGGTGCTGATTGGAAGTTCTGAAGATCCCTTCCAGAAAACAAACCAAGTCAGGGGCATCTTAAACTCTCCTCGAAACCCTCAAGAATGAAACATTTCTGACTCTTCTTGGGTAAGCACAGCTGCATCAGAAAGTGCTCTTTAAGTGCCACATACAATTAATTCCCTGGATTCTCTGCAGAGATCAAGAGAAGCTGGGACAGAGCTGACAGAGACCTGCTCTTTGCTTTCCATGTCCACAGAACAGCAGGGACAGGCTTGCTCTGAGAGCAGAAGGCAGGAAACACATGTTAGGGAGAATTTGTGTTACCTGACAGGATAACTGTGCATTTGAGGTGGTGGAACCACTTTGCTACTGCAAAAAGCAATGGGAAAACTCAGCCCTTCAGTACTTTGATGGGACTGAAACTGTGCAGCCTGCTGAGCCCTGAGCTTGGCTGTGCTGCTGTCCACTCTTTGCAGTGTGTCTGGAAAGGGTTAAAACAGCACTAACCAGCTGGTCAATTCAATGTTTCAGGCTGTGTGGATTTCCAGGCAGCAGCTGCAGTTTCTCTCTCACAAAATTCAAGTTATCCAAAGACTCCAGGCACATCCCTACACAACCAAGCCAGCGGTGTCACCATCGTGTTCTGATGGTAAAAATGAGGATTCCCAAACACCACCAAGCTCCTGAACAAAAAGGACTCTGGGGGACAAGCAGTGCCACATCCCTTGGGTTGGCCTTACAGGACAGTGTCAGCCTCACAACATGAAACTTCAGTTTAACATTTACAGCCTTGTCAAGTGCTCACATTTTTGGCTTTCAGTAAAAACAAGTGAGGGTCATCCCCAGTTTAGGATTTTGGTGACAGTCATTATTTAACATTTTTTACACAACACAAATGCCTACCCTACAAGGGCTGAGGAAAAGATGACTCTCCTCCTAATCTTACCAAAAATATACTTGTTAAAGTGCCATCTGCAAGAGAACAAAATGGACACACTCAGCTCCTTATTTCCATTGACAACAAGCATGAGAACATCTGTGAATTCTGTACATCAGATTCCTCCCCTCACCTGGGCTCTGGCAGGCTGTGATTTACAGACTGAGGCAGCTTCTCATTGCACCATGAGGCAAAAATAGAGCTTTTCACTATTATCCAGAACATTCAGTAGAGTAATTACTGCTAAGTTTTGAAAGGATCATTAACTTTGACTTATGAGAGGCAATGCCTCCCCCGTTAAATACATTTCAAGGTTCCATAAGAAACAACCTGTTTTAGCAGTCTCCTTTCATATTATTTGAAACCACTGTGTTTTCTTTCTAAATAGATTGTCAAAGCACTCAAATCCTTGCCTTTTTAATCCCTGCACACACAAGTACAATTCCCACAGATGCAAGCTACCATAGCCCTCCCCATTTAGACAGTTCACAGAGTTGGCACACTGCACACTAATTCAAGATTCAACTTGTTAACTGCTGGTTTTCACCTCCCTAACAAATTTTACATCATCAGCATCCTCTGGCTGAGAGCCAGCAGGTTGCCCACATAATAGTAGGAATCTGTGGAAAGCTTGGTTTAAACAGAACACAACCAAACAATACTTTAGTCTCCTGAATGAATCAATTGGAGAAGTGATACAGAACTTCCTAACACAGAATTATTTCTGTCCCAGAATCAGGCTGGCCTGTACCAACAGCAGCACATGGTTTTCTGCTTTGCTCACCTCACCTGTGTTCACTCTTCCCTGAATGTTACTTTCTACCCAAAAAACACGAGGTATTTGCAAGCAGTTGTTCTGCATCCTCTG